GATAACACAGGTGTCAGGTCAGGGACACATCCTTTCAGAACCACTGCAGGAATGTAATAATTCGACTTATATATGTCGAGATGCCAGAGCTCTCACCTGACTTCACAATGTGAAGCAGATCTCTCGCAGAGATCTATCACATGCGGATGTTCAGTGGTGTGGTATGGTCATCATCCTTAGTCAAATTTAACGTTAAGGCCAAAAGGTTCTCTTTCAGGCTATGTGCCAGATTATCTTCAGACTTGCACAGTAGTGTATAAAAATTAGATGAACTTAAAATCACAGACCATAACACGCGATTTACATATTTTTTTGCATATCTTTGCAATATGTAAAAAATATACTAATTTATAATTACATTAATAATTTACAAAGGTACTTACTAGGAAATTTAGTTAATGATTAAAAATAATTTTAAATAAATTTTAATACGACTGTTATTTATTACTTACTATAATATTATTTATTACTATAATCATTGAAAAAATTTTNCAGACCATAACACGCGATTTACATATTTTTTTGCATATCTTTGCAATATGTAAAAAATATACTAATTTATAATTACATTAATAATTTACAAAGGTACTTACTAGGAAATTTAGTTAATGATTAAAAATAATTTTAAATAAATTTTAATACGACTGTTATTTATTACTTACTATAATATTATTTATTACTATAATCATTGAAAAAATTTTACTTACTCAATCCTTGCTTTACAATATTGAAACAAAGCCCAACATACAGCACGCAGGTGTTTTAAGCATTCAGGATTGCACTTGAAACATTTCCAATCATCAACACATTTAATTTCTAATATTTTTGATTGTCCAAAATTCCGTTTAATACATTTCTGCAATATTCAAATGTTTTATTTCTTGCAAAATACTTAAGAGCAATTTTAAACTACCAACAAAATATTTACCGCACAAAAAACATGAGGACAGTCAGAACAACAGAATACTTGTCCTCCTTGGCCACACCATCGACAGTAAAGTTCAGATCCATCATCACCTTTCTCAAACTCTCCACTGTTGTAAAAGATGTGACATGTCTGACACACTAGTGTTCGTAGTAAAGGATGAATCTTCACACGAGATAAATTACGTGACGAAGAACCGAGATGACGATCACAAGCTGTACAATGTAGTCGTTGAGAAGTAATAGTGTTCAAGTCTAAAACAAAACATAATTTTTATGTTTCTGAAGTAATTCTCACACGTCTTCAACGAAGAGTTGCTCACCCGCAAATTTAGTTTTGATATATTCTTTTTCTTCTTCGTTAAGATCATCCTGAAAATCTTCATCAGTTGGTTCTGCAAGACATAATATTGTTTTAGTAAAACATTATTATTAAAGTCTATAACGTCTGTTTTATAAACGAATTTAATATTTACCAGGTAAAGGCGGGAATTGTACATTCTCATCCGAAGAAGCCGGCTTTTCTGGTGCAGGACAAGCCCCTTCACTTTTAATAATTTCACTCATTGTTGTACCAAGGTCATTAGGTATCCTCATTAGCAAAATATAAAAGTGTTTATATTTTGACAGCGTTTGTAATAAAACTTAATCATCTAGGCTAAACAAGGATATCAATGCTGTAATTTTACAGAGTTAGACGACACCAAAACTCCACCATTTTGGTAAATTGGTCGGTACCAAAGATTTTCTTAATACGTCCAATGGATAGGCAAAAGAAACAAAGCTCATACTGCTACCTGTATTGCAGAACAAAACACCGAAGCAATGTCTATTTTACAAAAATTAGTGGTTCCGGAAGTGGCGAATAGACATCAACCCCACGAAAAGAACAGCGGTGCCATTCAAAAGGGGTCGCCGTCCGAATACCACTTCGAGCACCCCACTCCCCAATAGGCGCGCAAACACCTCCGCCGTTAGCCCCATCACTCTCTTTGACCAGCCCATACCGTGGGCCTCGAAGGTCAAATACCTAGGCGTCACCCTCGACAGAGGGATGACATTCCGTCCCCACGTAAAAACGGTACGCGATCGCGCCGCGTTTATACTAGGACGACTCTACCCAATGCTTTGTAGACGAAGCAAACTGTCCCTCCGTAANAGCCCCATCACTCTCTTTGACCAGCCCATACCGTGGGCCTCGAAGGTCAAATACCTAGGCGTCACCCTCGACAGAGGGATGACATTCCGTCCCCACGTAAAAACGGTACGCGATCGCGCCGCGTTTATACTAGGACGACTCTACCCAATGCTTTGTAGACGAAGCAAACTGTCCCTCCGTAACAAGGTAACCCTCTACAATACTTGCATACGCCCCGTCATGACGTATGCAAGCGTAGTATTCGCTCACGCGGCCCGCACCAACTTGAAACCCCTTCAGGTTATACAATCCCGATTCTGCAGGATAGCCGTCGGAGCACCATGGTTCCAGAGGAACGTGGACCTCCACGATGACCTGGAGCTCGACCCCGTCAGTAAGTATCCACAGTCGGCATAGCTGCGCCACTTTGAGAAGACGGCACGACATGAGAACCCTCTTGTCGTGGCCACTGGAAACTACATACCCGATCCTGTAGACCGAATGGTAAACCGTCGACGTCGCCCAAAGCACGTCATCACGGATCCTCCTGATCCATTAACGGTGCTTTTAGGCAATACAAGCACCGGTCACCGTTCTCGTCGAACCCGTCGCTTGCGACGAAGGGCCCGACGAGCGAATTAACCCACAGACACAGCCCACTGAATTTTTCGCCGGATCTTCTCAGTGGGTCGCGCTTCCGACCCGGTGGTAGATTCTGCGAAGCACTGCTCTTGCTAGGGCGGTGTTAGCAATTCTCCGGTTTGAGCCCCGTGAGCTCACCCACACAAGCTAGGGTAAGGCTGAAATAGCCTCTCAAGGCTATCAGCATAAGTAGGAAAAAAAAACAAAAATAAAAATTTAACTGAAACAATTAATAGATTAAAGAAGGGGATTGGGAGGAATGAGAGAGCATTCGGTGAAATGAAATGATTTAATCTTAAGTAAAACCCTCTGAATTTATTACAGATTTAACATAATATTTATTTTTTACTAAGACTTTTGGTACTTCTAGCGATTTTGTGTCTGTAAAAACGAATTTATTAATTATTTCAATTGTCCGATGATTGGCCTGAATTTATATGAAAAAAGTAACGTTAGGCCGTTCATTTAGTTAAACGCATCAGAACGAGATACAAAATAACAAATTCGTTCGGTTTGAAGTATGGGGAAGCCGTTGTACTGTGAAAACTGAAAAATGGGACGCATATTTCAAGGTGCGTGGCGCCATTTAGATTGTTGATGTCTATGGGTCCCGGTAATCATCTAATACCAAATGGACTGTAAGCTCATCCACCCTTTTAAGCAATTGCCACTTTACTCAACACACCCGCGATGATTGTTTAAAAAACCAATACGTGGCAGACTAAGGGTGTATAAAAAAAAACTAACTGAAAACGTTATTTAAATAACCAACAGTTACTCGTTTGTCTACGTTGTTTTCATTTTTTACTGTGAGCCGGATATTAGTGTGATTATTTAATCATGATTTGACGCCGTAGTGCCTTAGGGTTACTTTAACCTACAGACACAATCCACTGAGCTTACCACAGGATCTTCTCAGTTGTTCGCGATTCAGATCCGGTGGTAGATTCTGCGAAGCACGGCTCTTGCTAGGGCCAATGTTAGCAACACACCCGGTTTGAGCACCGTGAGCTCACCTACACGTCAAGGAGAAGCTGATATAGCCTTCTTCCTTCTTATGCTGATAGCCTCTCAAGCCTCCAAAATTTGTTTTACATAATTATGTAGTTAAATAAATGGAATGTTTGTATTTTTATGTAGAACATTCGAAGGAGAAGTGAATTATTGTCATTTCCACGGGAATGTGATCCCTTCATCGTTCGTATTAGTTGTAGTACTGTTTGATTCTGCGAAGCTCCGCTTTTGCTAGGGTAGAGGTGAGCAAATTACTGCAAACCTACAATTCTTATAAAATAAGTGTATTATGGATGGCCAGATGTGTATTTTTGTAGGTAGCGGCTTGGCTCTGTCCTTGGCATTGCTGAAGTCCATGGGCGTCCGCGACCACTCACCATCAAGTGCGCCGTATGGCCGTTTGCCTACAAGGGCAATAAAAAGAAAGACTCTTGCAGATAGGTACAGTACGCAAAACAAAAAACTAAGCAGAGATATATCATCTCAACATAGTCTATTCTTATTGTAGTCTTTGGCACTTTTGGCTAATATTATTTTTGTTGTTATTAAAGTAGGCAACTAGCATTTAATCTGTGATTGCAGTCGCTCGTAATTCATGCAGACTTTTTGGCGGGAACACCAGGAGTGAAGTTGTGTGATTTGTTTTATTTTGTCTATTTAGTGTTTCTTCGGGCTTAAATGTATAATAACGGTGGTTTATTAAACGTTTAGTATCTGTGAAAGTGCACAAATGTAGGAAAATAAAACAAAGCCACTGGACGTAACTTCTCGGGATCCTCTAAAAAGTCTACTGAAAAAGTCTACGTAAAAAACCACAACTTTACTGAAATTATATTTCATCCCATATCATCTCATCTCATTTCATTTCATNTGTTTCTTCGGGCTTAAATGTATAATAACGGTGGTTTATTAAACGTTTAGTATCTGTGAAAGTGCACAAATGTAGGAAAATAAAACAAAGCCACTGGACGTAACTTCTCGGGATCCTCTAAAAAGTCTACTGAAAAAGTCTACGTAAAAAACCACAACTTTACTGAAATTATATTTCATCCCATATCATCTCATCTCATCTCATTTCATTTCATTTCATGCCATGTTTCATATTAATCAACTTCATTTCATTTCATAATAATATCATATTTCATAAAAAATAAATATAATATAAAGATTAGGCTGTATGGTATGATACTTTTGCCTTTCCATTTGAAAAATAAAACTACTACTACTACAGCTGTTAGTAAATATTAAGTGTTTAATCTATGGTTAGTACTCTATGCGCACTTCCTGCGGTCATTCGCGAATGTTGCGTTGCTTTGTGATTAATTAACGTACATCTTGTATATAAATAAATTTATACACTTTCGGAAATTGGTCTGTGTTAATGTTGTGTTAAACATTGAAATTCGGAAAGGATTTTAATTGAAATGTGTATTTATTTAGTGAATATAACGTTACAGAGACTACAGTAACATGTTCTACATTATAATTATTAAATTGTATTCTCGGAAAGTGTAAGGTTTCGCTAATCACTTTTAAATTCCTAATTAATGTAAAATAAAATCATAAAAAAATGACTGTGACTTACACCGGTGAAGTAGCAACTTGCCGAGGTTTTGGGACTTTTTTAAAAGTTTTATACAGGTAAAAAAACAATAAGTTATTCTGGTTTTAAATGAATATTTAACTGGCTTAATGTTTTATAGCATTCAAAAAGAGATCTTATAAAAAGTTCACATTCACGCTATGTAAAAGATTACACTGCGGATAACACAGTTTGTCCGATTTCGAATATAAACTGCTCTCTAAACTCTAAAACAAAAGACAAAAGTTGGATTTTCAGTTTTTTTGTAGCTACTAGAAGTGCGGTTGAGAATAAGTAGTATAGTAATTACCTAAATAAGTTTACACAGTACTTGCCTAGTAGATTTTCAAAATAATTATGTAATTGTTGTATAATTTTAATAGAAATAATCGATGGATTTAAAAAAAATATGCTATTCATGCTTGTCGTATTTTATGTCATATTTTTATTTTTGCAATTGCCCTAGGTTGGTAAATGAGCTCATGGCCCACCTGGTGTGAAGTGGTTAATAGAGCCCATAGACATCACACGACGTGAATGCCGCCATTGACCATGAGACATATTATGGTTAAAGTCTAAATTGTATTATTTAACAGTTGCCCCACCCTATAGCTAAAATGCATGATTGCTTCGTGGTAGATATAGGTAACATGGTAATTATTAACCTGTGGCGTGACGACAATATGATCTACCACCAATAAGATACGCATTTTTTAAAAATTGTATCGTCCTATTTTTTCCGTCGTATTTATTTTATTGCACGGAAATCTCGAAATAATTACAAGAGTTCATTTGAGTTATTATGGATAGGGGATAAGGGAGGACACAATAATATTATTCATAAATTACGCAACCACCACTCCAATAATCGTCGAAGTTTGCCCTCCATATTACGTGGTGAATGGGTGACTTTGAAATGTTTCATAGTTCTTACCAAGCTTAACATTTACGGCTCTTTCAACTGCATATCAGTGTACCAACACCAATACCGACAGACTTTATTTGTTGGAGGACGACAGAGAAAAAAAAAGGGTGCGTGTACCTACTGATGTACGCGCGTAAGAAGTTATACTTTATTTTTATTAAATTTATTTCTTTTTTATTTATTTTAATTATAATCAATTTGAAAAAAAATCGATTAAACAACATCCTCAAACACGCATATTGGACATCCCTTTTCTTGACATCGTATAAATTCGGTAATTCTCGGTACGGTTCGGAAAGTTCACCTGCGGCTATATTCAGACTCGCCAAGTTACATCGGTCGTATTGTAATAAGCGATTTAGTGGGCAACTTCATTCTGTTAATTTTGTGTCACGGTGCGCGCGCATCGTAAAATTTCATTCTCATCAATTTTTCATAATGCGCCTAAAGAAGTATAACTTCAATATAACTTTAGAGTTATACCAGTAAAACTAAAGTACACCCGCCGCTCACCATGGTTTATGGTAAATTAAATCTGTGTCATACCATACATGTCTCCAAACTGACTTAATTTACGAGCGTTATAGAAAAAGACAACACAAATCTTCGTCCTAAAGAACACACTTCCTAGTCGGCCAAACCAAATGGATAATCTTTTTGGCTTTAGAATATTTAACAAGTTATAGAAGAGAAAGAGAGCAATTGTGTTATAAATTGTCTTATGTAGATTAAATTATAGCTAACTCATCGACTTGCCTCAAGGGTCCTTCTTCAGCGGGTGGGTCGAGGTGGTTTCGGACTTACCCGAACTAAAAGCAGGCTAGCTCGGCATAAAGTAACGATCACTCATAGATCAAAGGGTCGTATTGTGTATATATTATATGTTTCCCCTAATCTACCATAGGGAGGGTCGAAAACACATTTTCCTTTTCAAATCGCAATATTATAAACCGAAGAATAACCTAAAGTTACTACTTATTAACTTCTCAGTCTTCTCTTGATTTTAACTGTGTTAACTTAACATAATCTGAAGAATTCTGAATAGATCGAAACAGTCGAAGGTCGAAAAATAATAATAAAAAAAACAATTCTTGCCAATCGAGCTCTCTCAATATTTGCTGAGCGGCTTAATATACATACGTGTGCTCTGGAGTTATCGTGATGAAAATACCCATACTTTCTCTTGATCAGTTCTGGCCATTTTTACTCTGTTTCTTGCTCGCGTCGGCCCTTTACACTAGAGATCCTAATCAATTGGCTTTACCCGACGGTAAAAGCTCATAATCAGCAATACCTTTCGAATCGTACCCAAGCACCACCTCATTGCGAGTTAATTCTTAAAGTTCTTGTACTCCTAATTACGTACCCGTAGAGTGCTAGAGAAATAGCAAATGAGTACACAATTCGTTAGATTTCTTTCAACAAGTTCGTGTTGCGCTTTTTCGTACATTTTTTTTCAAACGTGTCAAACTCTGGCTATGAAGCTTTGGCTATTATTATTGCTCCCCTTTAAATATAAAAAATAGCATTTAATCCATGTGATCTTTAAAAAACGAGCTTTATTTTTGTCTAAAATAATTTTGTAAGTACTGTAACGTTTGTAATACTCTTATTCGTAAAATCGATCCTCACCATTATTGCTCCATGATAACGCAAGACCTCACACAGCACGTGAAACCGTATTAACTCTACAGGAACTGCAATTAGAAACCATTCGTCACCCTCCGTATCCGCCAGACCTTGCTCCAACAGACTACCATTTTTTTCGTGTTTTGGACAATTTTCTACGTGCTAAAAAGTTTTCTTCCTCCCAGGAGGCAGTACAATTCACACAGTTTGTAGAATCTAGATTACCAGAGTTCTATCGCAAATGCATAAATGACCTTCCTATCAGATTGTAGTAGTGTATAGATAATAATGGTAGATATTTAGATTAAATAAATATGTTAAGAGAAAAAAAAACGAATTTCAATTTTTCAGTGCAAATCGGCAGTTTCATACTTTAACCTCTAATAATATGTAATATAGTAAGTATTGCGTAGAATAAAGCTCCGATAGCAGGACTTTATACCAAATTTTACGATACCCAGCTACGGGCAGACGTTTATTTTTGACCGTGTGTTTCATAGTAACCAAGTATAAGACTTTGGTTCGGTAAATGCCCATAGAAATCCCAATTACAGCGCTAATTGCAATTGTGAAGTTGGATATTCGAAATATTCACTGGTGGTAGGACCTCTTGGGAGTCCGCACGGGTGGGTGCCACCACCCCGCCTATTTCCGCCGTGAAGCAGTGATGCGTTTCGGTTCGAAGGGTGGGGTAGCCGTTGTAACTATACTGAGATCTTAGAGCTTATATCTCGAGGTGGGTGGCGCATTTGCGTTGTAGATGTCTATGGGCTCCAGTAACCTCTTAGCGCCAGGTGGGCTGTGAGCTCGTCCATCCATCAAGGCAATAAAAAAAAAAATTCAGTATAACGTAAAGCCCTCTTAAAGGCTCATTTCACGAACATAGAAGAGAGATTCGTCATTCATCATTCATCATCTATAAAATATAAACTTAAGCATATACAAAACACACTTACCATTTTCAAATTAAAAAACCTAAAAGTTTTCTTTAAATCCGCCTTGAAGCTACCGGGAAACTAAATGTTTTTATAGATTCTGTAATACGATTTAGAAATGTAACGATTTCGAGAAAAAACGATGTGTAGTAAACTTGAATAAGCATAACAGAAAAAAACCGCTTTTACTAGTCTGTCATGTATCTATTTATGTAAATGGGGAATCATTTAACATCATTTTCACTAACATCAAGACGTCCGAATATAATGACCACTTTTTTTCCTACCTATGCTGATAGCCTTGAGAGGCTATGTCAGGTTCTCCTTGACGTGTAGATGAGCTCACGGGGCTCAAACCGGGAGTGCTGCTAACACTGGCCCTAGCAAGAGCAGTGCTTCGCAGAATCTACCACCGAATCGGAAACGCAACCCACTGAGAAAATCCAACGAGAAACTCAGTGGTCTGTGTCTGTGGGTTAATTTACTCGTCGAGCTCTTCGTAGTAAGCGACGGGTTCGGCGAGGACGGTGCTTGTGGTACCTAAAAGCACCGTTAATGGATCGGGAGGATCCGTAATGACGTGTTTATGGCGACGTCGACTGCTTACCATTCGGTCCACGGGACCGGGTATGTAATTACCGGCGTCCACGACAAGAGGGTTTTAATGTCGTGCCGCCTTCCCAAAGTGAAAATTACCAATATAAAAACGAATTATTTTCATATTTAGTTTTTAGTTTGGCTAATATTATAGCTTGCTTTTTAAAGTACTTTAACTATATATTTATATTATTTAAGACTGCATTCCTGAAGATATTCGCTATCGCTTAAGCATGCTACAAACGTCACGATATTCTATGGAAATTCTCTGTAGTATTAATACGTTGTCTGTCTGCTGTGTCAATAATATTACACAATTCTTTCAAGATAAACAATGAATCTGCAAGTGCGTAGTAAACTTAATGAAGAGAGATATTTATTTGTAAAATAATTCGTAGAACGAAGAAATTGAAGCACCTCCATGGCTTATGACACTCGATTTATTCTTAAAACGAGATTAAATTCTTGGGTAGGCTTTTTTTCCTAAAAATTACCTGTCTAAGTTAAATACATTAATGGACGACTTCTACGATGAAAGCGAAACGTCGTGTAACAAAAAGAATATGTACCTACAATATTTGTGTAATTATTAGGTCTTTATGTGAGCCCCCAAAAATTCTGCGCGTTTTGGTGTCAAGCATAAGATTAAACTTTAGTAATTCAAGAAGTACTGATAAATGTACATCAAACACAAATCATAATTTTGCATTTTTCGTTAAAGTAGGTAAAAAATATACAAAAGGATGTTTTTCAAAGTAAAAAATAGGTTTACTTAAATTAAAAAACGCGCCATAAAAGTGAATTGATTAATGCTTTTAAAAATAAACAGCTAGCTATTAGCAGTAAAAAGTTACCAATAATACCATTCATTCCTTAGATAAAATATGTGTACATATAGCCTTCCAAATGCATACGAAGTTTTCGAAAGAAAAATCATCAGTTTATTTTATTCAAATAGTGATGCGCACCATTC